TGGCACATTTTATACTATGTAAAAAATCTATCACAGATGAAGAAACAGCTAAGCTCTTTCTTGATAATATCTATCGCTATCATGGATTACCCAAAATATTATATCAGATAGAGAAACTTAATTTGTATCAAGATTTTGGCAGACTCTTTTCAAGATTCTAAAAGTGGATATAAAACTATCTTTGGCATTCCATCCTCAAACTGATGGACAAATGAAGCATGTTAATCAAGTTTTGGAGCAGTATTTAAGATGTATCATTAACTACCAACAAGATGATTGGACAACTCTTTTGCCATTGGCAGAGTTTGCTTACAATAACACTGTACATTCTTCTACAAAACAAACACCTTTCTTTGCTAATTATGGTTATCATCCATGACTTGATACTTTTCATTTTTCAAAAGTTGATAATCCTACTGCAAAAGATTTGGCAATTCATTTGTCAAAGCTACATGCAACAATGAAGGCGTAGTTAAAAGAAGCTCAAAAATAACAAAAAATCAATGTGAATGTCTATCGAAAGGAACAACCACCATTCCACATGGGTGATAAGATATGGTTACTTTGTCATAATATCAAGACCACTCGTCCTTGTGACAAGTTGGACTATCAAAGGCTTGGACCATTTTCTATTTCTACACAAATCAATCCAGTTGCATATCATTTATACCTACTGGAGTCAATAAAAATCCATCCAATATTTCATGTGTCTCTTTTTGAACCATACAAGACAGTGGACATACCAAGAAGAAGACAAGCTCTACCTCCTCCTATGAAAGTGGACAATAATGAAGAGTTTGAACTAGAAGAAGTCTTAGATTTAAGGCGGCGCCAAAATAAATTAGAATATCTTGTCCATTGATGTAGATTTGATATTAGTGAACGCACATGGGAGCCAGTAAAGAATCTTGTAAATGCAACAAAGGCAGTGGAGGCTTTGTATCGACGACATCTATCAAAATCAAGATGAAAATCTTCTTTATAAAAGAAACAAGACCTAGGTAAGATAACATTCTACTTTCAATCCTTATTTGTAGCTTCTTTGTAGTTGTGACACTCAGGAGATGGAGAATCAAGAACTAGTGGATTCAACTCAAGAGCCTTCGTTTACTGACCTACCAAATGAGACATTATGATTGTCCCAACCTTCAAGACGATGCAATCGAGATGAAGATCTTCAAGAAAGACATGTTTTTTTTCAAATAAATGGCGAAATACAACGCGTTTGGTATCACGACCTTGGAAGGAACTCCCGATGTTTGGTGATTTTACTAGAGGTAGGAACAACTCTTGATGGTGTTCCAAATGTTTTCTTCGAAAGAAGTTATGAAAGCCTCAACAATTATCAAATAACAGGGTGGTCTTTTCGTCCTACTATGGGACACTACCGATGGTTGAGAAGCCCTATCAATCATCTTCGAAGAGAACAAAGATCAGAGTATGTGGTGAATATAATTTATCGCATCATAGATTTTCTCAACATATCATTATCGCTCCTCGTGGAATTCGTGCCTAAAAAGGGGGAGTAATGTTTCGGACATATACATGTAATATCAGTAATTACATGTATAAATAGGTAGAAGTAAATAAAAATAAGTAAAAATAAGTTTATTCTATAGTATTTGATATGGAAGCTTCTTAGAAGCTTTATAGACGTTGCTTTGACTTTATGGGTGTCTTTAATTGACTTTTTGGGATTAAAAACGTATTCAACAAGTTGGTCATGTGCCACACATGTTATTAGCTTAAAGACCAAGTTAACTATGTGGCCCACATATAGAAAAACTTGCCTTGTAAGTCAAGGCATGTGTCCTACAAAGTCAACACATATAGGAGGTCCTATAGAACGTCACCACGTAGCCCTTAGTAAGATAGTATATATAGAGACAAGAATGAAGCCTTATTCACTCTTATCAACTCATTTCTTGCTTCCAATCTAGTTTCAAGGGTCTCTAATTTTCTTGGCTTTTGGCAATAGTCATTCCAATTTCTTTCTTAATATATATATATATATATATATATATATATATCAAGTTATTTCTATTTTTTCATCTTTCTTTGAGAGAAGTCTTACTTCTTTATTTATCTTTATCATGTTTTTGTCCTTGACACAAGCAAGGCTTGCAAAAGCTTTGACCACAATATCTACCTTGCATATCGTAATATTATGTAAGACTTTCTACTTGTTTATATTAACTAAAACTTACAATCAACTTGCCTTTAGAAAAAAAAATAAAGAATATATCTTTTGGAAATGTGATCCACTATTGCAAAACTAATATTGAGTTGAGTAAATATCTCACATACTAAAAGGTGTTGTTATAACAATTGTACAACCACATTTTTTTTGTCTTGTTTATTAATCCAAATGGTAGCAATGAAATAGTCTAAATAAATATTATACAACTATTAGATCAATAAAAATATATTTTTTGTAAGTAAAAGAATTAAATAATATTCTATAAAATTTAAAAAATAAAGAAAGTATAGTAATAAATGAAGTGGTACAACAATGAATAATGATAGAGGTTGCAATTGTATTTGCAATAAGTAACAAGCAAGGAATAACAAGCGAGGAGTAAAAAAATTGCCTCAATATGTAACATGTACACATATAGAAAATTCTTCATTCTTAAACGTGTTTTAAAAAAATCCTCTATAGCAACGATTCTTGAATTATATACTAACAACTTTACTTATTAGATTAAATACCTATTTTTTACTTTATTTCAAGAAAAAGAATAATTGAGTCAATTTAAAAATATTGAAACAATTTTTTAAGTCATTTTAAGGATATTCAAATATAAATTATAAACTTTAAAGCTTATAAAGAAAAAACATATAATCCAAAATAATTGGATAAGATTTAGGTCATATTTATTTATAAATATAACTTTGTATTAACTATTATATAAGGTATTTTTATAAAATAAAAATAAATAAATTAAATCTTATTTTACATAAATTTGAAATCAAATAAAAAATTAAAATCTTAATAGAAATTTTTCAACCATTATGGTTTTTGTAGAAAGTCCTTAGAAATCTCAATCTTTGAATTATTTCTCTTAATGAAATAAAGATTTGAATTTTATATTTCTTGAATTAAAGTATAATATATGTATAAAAGTACTAACAACTTTCAAACCAAAATATTTAATTAGTTGTAGTTATATTAAACTACCACTAGAATTTAGTTGATATTCAAAAATATCATGATATGTTAATAACATTTCTTCTAAAATAATAGTAAATTTAAATTTAAAATTTGGCTAGAACTTACTTGATTTGGATGTAAAGCTGAGATTCAAATCTGAGACCAATTCAAAAATTTGAATATCAATATTGAGAAGTCTAAATTGTTGCTAAAATGCATTGATAGGAATATTTTAAATTTTGCATTTGAAAGCACAATTGTGCATTTGAAAACACAATTTTAAAATAATGTGGCTTTTTGTGCTAAAATTTGGATATTAATTCTTTACTTGATAATTCTTTTGAGCTTTAGCTCAATTGGAATTGTGTAACTCCAATAGCAGCTTCTCAAAGTTTTTCACGTTGAGTGGAGGTGTCCTTGCTTTTTGTTTTGCTGATTTCTCATGACATTGAAAAGTTTCATCCCAAGGGGAAGGCTTTCACTACAACAGCAGGGAGCTACAATATATATATATATATATATAGAGAGAGAGAGAGAGAGAGAGAGAGAGAGAGAAATCTTAAGCAGATTAGAAATCACCATTACCAATCAGTGAGTATACACTCGTTTATTTCCGTGGTTTTAAGGGTATGCCACCCAAAGAGTAAAATACACGAGCAGAATATTCGAAGGATTTTCTTTCAGTACTTGATCATGATGTGGGATATGTTTTTACACATTGCATGCACATCTAGAAATCTACGCGCACACTAAATGGAATAGTCACAACTAGGAGGCATTGATTGGAAGACAGAAGCAGTGCTTCACTTTCTTCAGTTCGGTGACAGTGATTATCTGTGTCTTCCGGGATCCCCGAGTTTGTTTTACCCTTTCACTGCTATCTCTTCATCCTGGGCTCATTTGTGGTTCCATTAAGAGCAAGAAGCATAGACTTTTTGATTGAAGCCCAGGATTTGCAGTTACAAATTGTTTCAACCACAAGCTCTCCGATGAAATTATCCACGGAATCTAATGCAGACGCTCAAAGAAAGACCTAGTCATCCCTCGTATAATTTGAGCACGTCTTCTGTTGGTTCTGGCGAAATCCATCGAACGAAATGGAAATCCAGCTAAAGTTTTTATTAAAAAAACATAGGGTACGAGAATGTCCAAGTATGCATTAACTAATTAGAAAGCCAGTGTGAGAATTTTTAAACAGCAGTGAGTGAAAGCCTTTATTAATGAAATTGATAACACGACAGCACTCAAATCCATTGTATAACGATGGAGCACAAAGTGCATGAGCTTTCAATGACAAAACTCGAAGCAAGACTTTGCAACAAACATGGTGCAGGTTTCGAGCAAAACCAGAGGAAATATGAACAGCTTACAGTTGTGTAACAGGTGCCTAAGGCAAGCAACTCTGCAAGACAACAATCGCCAAAATTGTTTCCTTCAGGGTTCCTTCAAACACTTCATATGTGTTGACGATGGTTGAGAGGGAGTTGGGCATCAACAAAGACCCGAATTTCCACGACGAAAATCCCGCCAAACCAGTTTTGAAGTTGCTAAACGTCTGAAATCTTCATCAATGGTCCGCTTCCACAAGTTTGACCACATATCGTCCTTGAACGTCCTCTATGAACCCCGAGATTAGTTCGGTCTTCACAACAAAATCAGGTCTCATAGCCTCAACCGAGTTCCTTTTTATCTGAGTTGATGATGGATCGCCTCCAACAAGATTACCATGCGTTGTTGAGATGAACAAGTTCTACTAGAAGAATAAGCTCATTTTCACCACATTCAAAAAATGGATATCAAGATCCTGCTTTCATGGGCTCATCATTGAGAACTAACACTAGAAGGATTACAATATTGAATACACTTGAAAAATAATGTCACAAAATAAATTACGCCTTTCCTCAGAGAAGAAAATTTGCAGAATAAATTTATCAGCGTATCATACACTTAGTCAAATAAACTGTAACAAATAACCTATCACAAACATTGCACTAAACCCAGTCCCCAGTAAATTCAACTGGCAGCTGGAATTCTTGGATCTGACCAGTTCCAAAATTCTTGCCTACAGCCTTTACATCGATGGCGGACCGTCCAAAGAACATGGAGACAGTGACGGTGGGTCTTTCTTGCATATGTGAGCTCGAAGTAATGTCGATCGTAAAGCTGGCTTCCTCTTTACTGTCCACACCGGGCCCCTGAGTGTACTTGGGATCCGTTTCATTAGAGCTATACAACATAAGTTTCATGTTTCTAGCTCCGGGAAAAAGTGGACTGAAGTCCTTAGAAACGCAGTGGTCGACATCCAAAGGATCCCCCTTCCTGACGTACGCGCTGAAGTTTACATCGCATTTCTTTTCCGCGCCGACCCAGCTTATGTACTTGCTGTCCTCTGGATCACCAGGCTTGAAAGATCTTGAAACCTCGAACCCATAGGTCTTTCTGGCAATTCGGGACGTGATGCCGGCAGGATTAAGAGCAAGCATTACAGCGCCTTGGCAAACGGCGCTTCCAGGATTGACAGGGCTGATAATCTTCTCAACTTGACCGAGAAACCGCTCTTTGATCTTCGACATCAAGTAAGGAGAGCCTGCAAACCCTCCGACTACGAAAATGACCTTAACGTTGGAAGTTCTAGACAGCTGGTCGGCGATGAGGCCGAGGTTCTGTTCGACGACAGGATCAAAAATTGACTGCATGTCTGACTGTGTTAGCTCGAGTTCATCGTAACTATCGCGTGGCGGCAGTCCATGCTCGGAATCGTAATCCTCCCATTCTTGGGCTAGCTTGCCTGGGAGCTGAATTTCGAAGCTATCGCCAAGAGTCCCGTGGTCGCCAAAACTGCATTTTATTTCTTCCCAACGCTTGAAAATCTCCGACATGAAAGAAGAGGATTTCTGCAGGTATTGGGGCAGACATTGAATCCTCGTGAACAAGAGTCTGTTAAATTGCTCGTCCACGTATGTTCCGCCACACAAACCACCGGTACTATACGTGACCTCCTTTACTCTATAATCATTCGGAGTTTCACTCATCCATTCCTGGACGACGATGTCTGTTGTGCCACCGCCGATGTCCGCGACCAATAGCCTGTCCCCAGCTTTCAGCTCAAGGTCAGGCATATTACGGTGACAGTAGCATGAGGCCGCCTCTGGTTCAAGCACAATACTCAAAGGGTGTGGGCTCCCTATTATTGATTGTGAGCCTCGGACGAGCCCTGCACGCATCATGCACACTTCCATTTGCTTCTTAGCATGGTCATCCCATATGGAAGGTACAGTCACACACCACTGCACCTGGTCCAAGGTGAGCTCATCGTTGAACTTGGTACGAAGGTGACGCAGGATGCTCGCACCGATCTCCCGAAGATAATCGGAGATGACCTTTGTGACATTGTAGCCTGGTGGAAGCCTGGCAGCCGACGACTCTCCGGAATCTTTGCTCGCTAGATGAAGCTTAAACCTTACTAAGAACACACCCACTGGAGGCAGATCCGCTGTCCTCTGCCGCGCCCTCTGGAGATTGTGCACGTCTTTCGTGAATTCGTGTAACGCCGGAAAACCCCAGGACTTTATCTGCGTGGTCGACCCATCTCCTGGCTCGTAATAGATTCCGGACAAAGTTTTGCAATATGGCTTAGTCGCCCTTGGCCACTCGTAAAAGGTGTAAATCTCAGTGGGCTTGGCTTTGTGCGCAAATGCAAACCCCGAGAATGTTGTCCCAAAATCCAAACCCACTACTACCTTCGCTTCACTTGATACTTGCTCGGTCATTGTCGCTAGATTTCTTCTCCCTTCCTCAGAAACCCTGACTCAAACGCACAATCCCTATCCTAATCTACAAGATGCAAACACCGCTTACCAAATTGACACAGATTACTTGACCAGATCCACCAAAACACGAAACTAGTTAGGATCTTCAGCAGCAATCGTTCAAAGCCTGAAAACCCAGACCGGCTCGATGCGAAGAACAAATCCGGAAACAAAAAATAAAATAAAATAAAATAAAAACAAAGAAAACCGAAAAACAAATCAACCTCTTCTCCTCCTCACCGCTGCCGCACACGCAACTAGATCACCAAATTTTATCCGCTTCAACCACGAAGAAACCACTCGGAGCTTCAAATCAACAAACACCAACGAATTTCAAAACTAATGATCTCCTACAACCATCCCAGATGTGGTAAGGTCGCAACAAGATCGCCGCATCACAACACGGAAAATGGCTGCAAAAACCTGTTACCGCAAATTTCATCACTCTGCAACCCGCCTCAACGCGTCACCGATTAGGATCACTCCTCCTCAGAGCAACACCTCCTACTCGTAAGTAGCGATCCACAATCGGTGAGCGCCTCACCTCCGACTAACAGCTCAACGGAATGCAGACAACACGGTATTGAGCGGCAAGCCAACCTCCTGTTACCGACGAAATGCGCGCCTCGTCGCGACTTCCAATGCAAAGACGAAGTTGCTGCGACAGTAGTTTGATTGGCTTCATCAAAAACTTAGTTCAACTTTTAATAGAAAGTCTGCCCTAAATTTCTAGACAGCGGATGAACTCCTGTAGTCTCTCACATCGCTTGTCAATCGAAATCCAGTCTTCGAATCTAGTCGTAGGCGTGTGGTACTTATCCCAATCCCACACGTATTCCCCTGATTAGGGTTCCGGCGTTCATCGGTACTCGGCAAAAGAGGTTACCGCGTCCCAGGTCAGAAATCCCATTCAGCTTTCCTCCAAGCAGCTTTTCACACCCCCAACAAATTCAACCGTCACAATGTGGGGAAAAAAAAAAAAAAAAAAACTGTTGCCTCGCATGATCTGAAGCTGTTTCGAGCAATGGAAATAAGATTCTCTGCATGCCTTTGTGCGGAGTACATAAACGGTGAGTGGCGAGGTCAAGATCAGCAACTTGGCATTTATATTCTACCGCTCTGTTGCTTCAGAATTAGTCATATTTTCTACACCACTTGCAATACCCATTTGCAATGAATTAGCTAAATTTGCAATGAAATAAAGTTTTCAGATTCGTATTTCTCCCTCACATACTGCCATAATTATTCTGTAATCATCCACTTTTCTGAGCACATGGTTTAGGGTCACATCCTCATCACCACCCCCCCCCCCCCCTCCTCCATTATTCACAGCCGCTCCCTTGGATTTTTGTTGTGATTGTTGTCAATAATTAGGACTAAATGATGGGACAGATTAGAGTCGACTACCTTTTAAAGCATCTTGTTTCACCAGATCTAATTACCTGGGAGTACAAAAAAATGTTGTTCATAATAAAATTAATGAAAAAATAATAGTGAAAATACTGACCACATAAGCCAGGTGAAAATAGATTAAAAATGATATCATTAATTGATAGATATCAAATGTTATGTACTTTTCAATGATAGGAGATGTTGGATTATTGTTGCTCCTAAGCACTCAAGCAATCAAAGGTTAGGATTGCTAAAAAACCTGTAACTTTTTTTCTTTATTTTTTTCTTTATTTTTTTTTCTCTTTTTTGTGCACATTTCACTTCAATTTATGTTTTATAGTTGAAAGAGTTGGCTCGATTTTCATAGTATATATTTAGAATTTTTTTTAATCAATAAATGAATATATTAAGCATTAGATGTGTAATTAATTATTCATTGAGAAATTAGTGTAATTTTCTCAAATAGATTAATAAATTTAAAATTAAATGAAGGTTCATGCGAGTGCTAGTACAAAGGATAAATAAAAAGATTGCGTCTTTATTCTACTATAAATATTCAAAATCTTAAGAAGAATTTTGTTGTTATTAAAAAAAATTATTATTATAGTCTAACTTTCAAATGGTTTTACATCTTATTTATTACTTCATTTAGAACTTGAAGCTATATTTAGGATTTTAAAGATTTAGAATTTTAAAACCTTGATATAAATTAAGTCTTTCTATTTGGTATAATATTTCTTAAAAAACCATGATACCAATAAATATTATCAAAAAATATTTAGTTGTTTCTTTACTTGTGATAGATGTGGTACAAAATAAACTATCTTGGTGAAACTATTTACTCTTGCAAATATTGAATTATAAAAAATTGAGATTAGAAGATTTGTAATAAAATCCATACAAACAAAAGAATATAATTGTTCTACTATGGATAGTGGTTGGACATGTCTATAGGTTAATAACAAGGAGTTTTTAATCTAAAACAGACATCATATATTTGTATATAGTCTTTAACTAACTTCTACATTTGAAACTACCAAAAATCTCTTGATATTAGTTCCAAGCTCTTGTTGTATTCAAAATGTTTTATATCAAAAAAATTATGACGAGTTCAAACAACACGTAGTTGTTTTTTATTTTTTAGAACATATAAGTGTTTTTCAAATAGAAAAAGATTATTCTTCAATTAAAACCTATAAGTATTTTGAAATTAAGAAAAATTACTCTTAATACAAAAAATAAAAAGATCTAATAGTATCTTTGATTGATTTTGCTTAAGAAGTTATATCAATAATTAATGTTGATTTTATAGCTCATAGATGAAATTACTCTAACTTCAAAAAAATTGTCTTGTTCTTGATTTAAAGACATATTTTTATTTATTTATTTTATTATTATTATTTTTAATTTTATGAAAGATAAGATCTTTTAGAAATGTCGTATAACAAACCTTGTATTTATAGTTGATAAGTAATATTAGATACAAATCTTATAAAGATATGTTCCAACAAGCTTTTCAACAATTCAAAATATGCATTGACATAGAATACTAAAGGTTCTTATGATCTATATAAATAAGCACTAAATTTGAAGTACCTTCTAGATAGTGTCCCCATTCTTGAAATGAATCTATAATTGTAAGAAGCTCTTCATTGTGCATGTAATTGTTGATTTTTATTATTAAAAAAATTCAAATAAAAAGCTACTAAATGAAGTTTGTTATCTGCTTCCATTTGTAATAACACCACACTTTAGGCAAAATCTGATGCGTTTGTTTCTATAAAAAAAATCCTCAAAAAAGTTGACATAATACAAGATTAGTATAGAAATAAAAGTTATTTTTAAGGCTTCAAATATTACTTGTGCTTCTTTATTCTATTCAATTTTGTTTTTATAAATCAAACATATAAGTAGAGCTCTAACTTAAAAAAAAAAAAAAAAAAAAAAAAAAATCTTTATAATTGTTTAAGAGTAATTAGCAAATCCTAAAAAAAATGCATCTCTTATTCTTCATAAAATCTTCGAATTTATGATAGTTTAAATTATCTTAAGATCCATTTCAATACCATCATTTGAAATAGTATATTCAAAGAATTCAACTTGAATTATGTAAAAAACAAACTTTTCTAATTTGGTGTATAATTTTACATCTTGAAGTTTTTATACTGTAAATCAAATATGCAATTCATGGTCTTTTTTTTTGCTATAGTAGATTAAAATATTATCTAAATAATTAATAAAAAAATCATTTAGTATCACAAATATACATATTTATTCCAATAATTATCTATATAATTAGTTAGAAGTAAGTAAAAGTAGATTAATTTCATAATATCTTTTTAAAAAGCTTCCTAGAAGCTTCATAGATATGGCTTTGACTTTATATATATTTTTAGATTAGAAACTTGGTCAATAAATTAGCCACATGTCACATGTATTGATAACTTGTAGAATAAGCTAACTATGTATTGTACATATAAAAAACTTGCTTTGTAAGTTAAAACATGTATCTTACAATTTATACATGCATTGAAGGTCCCATAGAATATTGTAACATAGCTTCTAGTTAAATATTATATATAAAGGCAAGAATGAAGCCTATTTTATTCTTGTCAATACCTTTTTAATCTTTAGTCTTATTTCAAGATTTTTTAGTCTTCTTATCTTTAGCAATAGCTATTCTAGTTCAATATATTACTAATTTTGAGTGACTTTTTAATCTATTTAAGTAACATAAGAGTATATTGAATTTTTCTTTTTTTGAAATTCTATCATGGACATATATATTTATCACAATAATTACTTATATGATTAGATAGAAATAGGTAAATATAAATTAATTTCATAAAGTCTATTAATGAAGCTTCCTAGAAGCTTAATAGACGTGGTTTTGACTTTAGATGTATTTGTAGGTTAGAAACTTGGTCAACAAGTTAACGACATATTGGTAGCTTGTGGAACAAGTTATCTTTACATAGTTGCTTGTGGAACAAGTTAACTTTACATAGTAGCTTGTGGAACAAGTTAACTCAATGTAGTAGCTTGTGGAATAAGTTAACCATGTGGCGCATATATAAATAACTTACCTTGTAAGTTAAGACATGTGGCTAGCAAAGTCAACATATTTTGGAGGTCCCACAGGACATTGCTACGTAATTCCTAGTTAAGACTATAAATGAAGGCAAGAGTGAAGCCTTCTTCATTCTTATCAATGTCATTCTAGTCCTTAGTCTTGTTTCAAGACTTTCTAGTCTTCTTGTTTTTGACAATAGCCATTCTAGTTAATATTACATTATCTTTTGAATGACTATCTAGTTCTCTTAATGATACAGGAATATATTGAGAATTCTCTTTCTTTGAGATTTATGTCCTTTACAGATTGACTAGAGTGCTAACATACTCTTTTTGTCTTGTTTTAGAAGTGAGTGGATTAGCCCACTTCTAATGTTGTGTTTGAAGGTTGCAGACTATCCACCTTTTAAACAAAAAAAACTTATTTTTTAACATTGATCTTTCCTTAAAGAGAGTGGATTATCCTTCTTTGTGAAAATTCTTATTAGAGGTTACGGATTACCTTCCTCTAATTTAATTTTTTGAATTTGTTTGAATTGCCTATAGAATGAAAGATTATCGATGCTACACCTAGCAGAAATGAGAATAGATTTGTAACTATTGCAGATCTTCATAAGCTTGTGAATACTCTTAGAGTAGAAATCTCACATATTTCTAATGTGAATCATCAAGGTACTATGCCTACACATATGGAAAAAGTTCAAAGTCTACAACAAGAAGTTGTACAATTGAAAGAAGCAAGTAGATCAACCTCACAACCAAATCCAGGGAATTTTGCTTCTATAAGTATGACAAGGACAAGGATTAGTATGATTGAGAAGTTTGATGGAACAAGATCAAAATTTTGAGGATTTTTGTAACAAGCTAAGTTCTATCTAAGATTGCATCTTTTTTAATATCTTGATGGATTTACTCAAGTTGGATTCATAGACACACTTCTATCAGGAAGTGCTCTTTCTTAGTTTGTACCTTTAATTGAAAAAGATTTGTAACTCTTTTATGATTTGAATTCATTCCTAGAAGTATTTATGGCAACATTTGGAGAAATTACTCAAATACGAGTAGCACAGATCAAACTCTTATCTTTATGACAAGGATCATGATCAACCACCACATATGTTGTTGAATTCCAAAATCTTACTTACAATATAGATTAAAATGATAAAGCACTCATCAATCAATTTCAATATAGATTGAAAGATAGTGTCAAAGATTTGTTATTAATAATTCCATAAATAAAATCTTTGAA